CCGAGGCTCAAAGGGGTAACAAAGGATAAAGTGTTTGGATAGCAGAACAAAATGCCTTCGTCATTCCAATCTTCAAAACATGCCAAGTACAAACTACACAATTAAACAAACATGGGGAAAACATACGTAACCTCTTTTGATTGCACCAGAATTACTAACCATATCCACACATTTGCCTTCTGCATTTGTCAATTACCCAGCACCATTTGGACAACAATCTCGGTACCACGAGCGGCCCCTGTAGACTCGGGGGCAAACTTGCCTTTGGTCTCAAACCGATGTGGCATGATGCATTTCAACAGTATTTTTTTATGTTCTGCCTTCCCCAGTTTCACACAATTTGGGCTCGAAGAGATTTCAAAATCCCTCGACTGTCCTTACATCTTCAACATTCTTTTATTGCTTCATTGCTAAACTGATTTTTAACCAGGCTGAGAATTATGCGTGCATGTCATGTCACCAGAACCAGCATGAAAAGAATTGCAAAAGGAGAAAGGAACCAGATAAAATGACTAGAAATGGCGGGAAACAGAGAATTGCATTAAACTGACGGTGAAAGGGTTTAAACAACGAAACAAGCAAACTAGACTAGAGTTACAACCCTTGAACAAACCTAAATAGCACTACACAAGCTACTACGACGAGACAAACAAGACAAAGTGAAAGGATAGAAGGGTTTGAGTCACAAGACAATATCCGGATTACAACCCTGAAATAACCCGGACAACAGAAATGACAACAAAATAAACCACCAAAACTCCAAGAGATGGAGTGTCTTTCCAATTACCAAGCATGACATCTTAACCACTGAGTTTCGCATCAATGTTGCTGGAACCTTCACCAATTTCAATATTATTGACTTCATTCAACAAGTTTCCGAGAGGGTTCTCATACTCCCTGTCACCATGGATCTTCCCCACAAAATGTGCACCATCATATGCAATGTTCTGGGTGGCACTGTCTTGGACCGCGATTACCCCTTCCTGAATCATTCTTTCTATCTCTCTTTTCAAATCCCGGCAGCTTTCGACATCGTGCCCCTGGGCGTTGCAATGGTATTCACACCTTTTAGAAGGGTCAAAGCTTCTTGCACGCTTGTCCACATGATTCGGAGGAATTGGTGCAATCAGGTTATACTGCTTTAGTTTCTCAAACAAGTCTGCATATGACTCTCCGATGGGGGTGAAAGTTTCCTGCTTCTGTGCCCTCTCTTGCTTGAAATTTTGGCTGGCTCGCAAACCTGCTCCAGGGGGATTCCTGTAGGCTCTTGGAGGTGGGTAGGTGTTTTGAGTTGGGCAAGTATTTTGTGGAGTGGGTGCACGCCATGGCGCTTGGGTAGGATGTTGGGGATATGTGTGGGCATGGTGGACAGAGAAGTGAGGACATGGGTTGGGTAATAGTGTTGTGGAGTGTGGGAGTAGGTTTGGGGACGGGGTCGAGGTTGATGGTAATATGGTGATGGGCCCCTGGACCAAGTTCTTGAGTCAACTACCGCCACATCTTCTTTCTTTTTCTTTCCCAATACCCCTCCAGTGCCGCTCTGGATAGCCTGGGTAGTTGCCTTGATTGTCGAATAACTCATGATTTTGTCGGATTTGAGCCCCTCTTCAACCATACTTCCCATTTTCACTACCTCGTTAAAAGATTTTCCCACTGCTGACACCAGGTGACCATAGTAAGTAGGCTCCAAAGCCTGTAAGAAGTAATCGACCATCTCGCTCTCTTTCATTGGAGGATCGACTCTTGCCGCCTACTCTCTCCACCGGAAACCGTACTCCCTGAAGCTTTCCCCGGGCTTCTTCTCAATTTTAGTCAGTGACAGACGATCCGGGACAATTTCGAGATTATACTGAAAGTGGCACGCAAATGCTTGGGCCAAATCATCCCACATGTACCATCGGGCATGATCCTGTCGTGTGTACCATTCCAAGGCCGTACCACTGAGACTTTGACTAAAGTATGCCATCAATAACTCATCCTTTCCCCCAGCTCCTCTCATTTTACTGCAAAATCTCATTTTACTGCAAAATCCCCTTAGATGAGCTACCGGATCGCCGTGTCCATCGTACAAATCAAACTTGGGTAGCTTGAACCCTGCTGGCAACTGTACATCGGGAAACAAGCACAAATCCTTGTAGGCCACACTGACTTGACCACCCAATCCTTGCATGTTCCTGAAAGATTGCTCTAGGCTTTTTACTTTTCGAAACATCTCTTCCTGTTCCGGATCTTTAGGCGGCTTGTCAGTTTCCCCCGGGAGCTCAAAGTGAGGGGTGTAGGAATATGGCTCAGGAGCTTTAAAGGTAGGCTCAGGAGGGTAGTACTGGCTGTCGTGAGTTTGAAACAACGGCTCAGTGGAAGATCTTTGCAATGTGTCAGGTGGAGGCACCACAAAGACAGGGGTGATTGGTGGAGGAGGGTTTTGGTTGGGTGGTGGAGCTTGGGGAGGATAGGAGGTGGTGCCATGACTTTGTTGGTAGAAAGGGAAAGACGGAGATGAATTCACAGTAGGGAGCTCCTGAGACTGAGCCAAAGGTGGGATACATGCTGGACTGGCGGGATAAACTGGCGCCGGCTGACCCTTAGCCCAGGCCTGATGCATCTCGGCCATCTGTTGCCTCAACTTATACATCTCTTCCCTCATTGCTTTGACATCCACCACTTCTACCTCTTTTGACGGGTCCACGATACTGGTGTCTGATTCTTGGCCTGTCATGTTCGATTTGATTTTTGCCCGGGTGTTGTAGGAATGGGTTGCCAGGATGCCGACTGCCTTTTGTCCTCGTGTTGTGAAGAGGAGTTACCACGTTAAAACCACAAACCAACCACCTTTCTGATATGACATGACAAAATGAAACCATCACGTTAGCGTTAGGGCATTTAACACATTGGTACTCGCACATTTGGGGAGTGAATGCACCTAGGCAGTTAACAGTTCCTATTATGCTTTTGCTCAGTCACATGCGTCATCCCGGCTTTTCATTTCCTTTTCTTGCCCATGGCAAACTTTCTTCTCTCTTTGCAAAATTAATTTTCCACTCTTTTCTTTCCTTTTTCTCTTTGTTTTGCTTTCCCTCTTTTGGTTTTCTTTCCTTTTTGTTTTTCCCCTTTTGTATCATTCTTTTCTGGTTTTTCCTTTTATTTATTTAGAAACGATCGAATCCTATGGAGATT